ATTCTGTTAGAATTCAATAATTATCCTAATTATATTTTAGATTTTTTATATTTAAAATAAGATGTTTATCCTGTATTTGATGAAATAGGATATGGATGAAATCGGATAGGGATGAAATCGTTTAGGGATAAACGAGTTTAGGGATGACTTTAACAGGTTGTACCATTAGCAATAGATGTTGTCTTTAAGAGTTTTAAGAGTTTAAGAGTTTAAGAGTTTTTAAGAGTTTTAGCCAAATGCTTTATAATATAGTATAGATAACTAAAGTATTTTGTTAGATATCAATGATTATCTTAATTATATTTTAGATTTTTTATATTTAAAATGAGATGTTTATCCAATATTTGATTATGTTTATCTGTAGTTAGTTACATGAATTCAAATATGAAATTTTAATAAGTTGTACTTATGCACAATTTACTTGTAATCTTAAATTTTAAGTAATATGTATTAATAAACAGTACTTCATACATAAAAAATGAGTTTTAAGAGCTTTTTTAAATGCTTTATAATATACTATAGATTAAGTGAGATTTACATCTCTAATTAAAATTATTGATTTGGTTGATTCGCATCTTTTTTATCATTACTTGCCAAAAAGAAAACGATTCAACGACCTTGTTTTTATTAAACGTCGTCGTGCTACAAGTTGGAAAATGTTAGGTTTTGGCCTGCAAAAACAACTACTTGTAAAAATAACAAACGAAACATAATATAAAATAATCAAATGATTTTAAATTAAATCACCATAATTCAGTTAACAAGTCGAACAGATCACTGCAACAAAATTAGGTTTTTTAGAAGGCCAAACAACGGTTGTTGTAGCGAAACTGATTGTAAAATAAGGAAAACCAGTCATGTTAAAATGACCTTTTTGCGCAGAGGTTCGTTTGATATCCAAAACTGCTCGGCAACTTTTTTTGGTGTTCTAAAAAGACTCGTTTTTATTGTAGTGGTTGATATACAGTTGAAGTCTGTTTGACATTGTTTTATGTGTTAAGAAGTTGTACCAAATGTATTAAAAGTTCTTCTGGTTGAACCATGTAGACGATAACTATTTGACGGATGGTACGTTGGAAAAACGAATCGAATGGATTCCGGGGATGAACGGTATTCGTTATAAAGATATCCCGAGCTTCATTCGAACAACCGATCCCGACGATATAATGCTCGACTTCATGGGGGAGGAAGCCCAAAATAACTTGAATGCTCCAGCCATCATTTTCAATACATTTGATGCATTGGAAGACAAAGTATTGGATGCAATTGCTTCCAAATTCAATTACTCCAACATTTATACAATAGGCCCTCTTCCTTTACTGGCCAAATATGTATCGGACAGTAGTCCGGTACAATCACTAAATTCGAGTCTGTGGAAGCCAGACTCGAACTGTTTGCATTGGCTCGACCAGAAGAAAGAAGGGTCGGTTATTTATGTCAATTATGGGAGTGTGACTACTATGACCGACCAACATTTGGTCGAATTCGCTTGGGGTTTGGCTAATAGCATGCAACCGTTCTTATGGGTGGTTCGACCTGATGTCACGATGGGGGATTCGGCAATCCTGCCTGAAGAATTTGTGGAGGAGACGAGGGATCGAGGATTGATGGTCAGTTGGTGTGCTCAGGATCAAGTTCTAGCCCACCCGTCGGTTGGTGCATTCTTAACACATTGTGGATGGAATTCGACTACTGAGAGCATAGCCGAAGGCGTGCCATTGATTTGTTGGCCTTTCTTCTCCGATCAACAAACCAATTGTCGGTACTCTTGTGTTGAATGGGGAATCGGGATGGAGATCAATCGTGACGTGAAGCGAGAAGAAGTTGAAGTCCTTGTGACGGAAATGCTTCAAGGGGAGAAAGGAAAGAAAATGAGAAGAGAGGCGATCGAATGGAAAAGGAAAGCGAAAGAGGCGAGTGACGTCGGTGGTTCGTCATATAAGAAATTCCAAAGGTTTATCAAAGAGGCCCTTCTTGATGTTTCACATGTTTAATAAGTGGTGTTCAATACGTAAAGGCTCGGTTTTGGATCGAGTACGTTCGTGGAAGATAATTGCTTCGATTTATTGTTCTTTTGAATTGTTTGATTTCGTTTCAATACGTAAGTTATCAAAGTTGGAGTCTTTTTAATTGATTGGTTATCGAAATGGAAAAGTGCGGAAAAATTAAAAACCCTAGACTTTCATATTTTGAAGGATCAAGTATATGTTGACTTTTTTTAACAAACAAGTTCTTGCACTTACTAGAATCGAACTAATTAACCCTTCTCAAAACAATGAGATCGACAAGTTCTCATTCCAACCCCGGTGATTCATATCCTAAATCCCAGATAGACGTTCCTTGATCGATTCGCAATTCCCGCTGATCGAATGGAATCACGTTAAGATCCATCGTTCCTTCGTTCATCCCTATTCTTTCGTAAACGTCCCAAAAGTTTCCATAACCACATTCCTTCTCTTTTGAATGCTCTTTTTCAGTAGTTTCGATCATATTCATCCACGAAATCGCTCCATGACCATCATCATTGGCATGATACAAGCACCGATCTGTGTTCTTACGCCTTTCTTCCATTGAATTCTTGAAATGATCCAGTTCCGGTTCGATCTTTTGGTTCGGTGAGAGCTTCTTCAAAAGGGTTTCTTCTCCTTCAATTGAATTCTTGAATACATCTGGTTCTGGTGGTTCTGGTTCAATCTCTTGGTGGTTCTGTGCTAAGTTCAAAAGGGTTTCTTCTTGGTTCACCACTTTAGACCAAATAACACTCTCTTTAGCTGTCATCTTATCTTGCAAACACTTAGATTGCATCGCCAACCTTCTGATATGATCTATATTAGGAGCCATATGCTTCATGATTGCAGCCAAAAGACTCACCTTCCAAGCCTTTTTTAAGTCGTGAGGCTTTCTATACGGTGGTGGACCATGGCCTTTCACGGTGGTTCCTTGATCACCCCACCAGAACTCTTTTCCGGTCGGCCACCATGGTGGGTTCAAACCCTTCTCAAATGGAAACCCTCTTTGTGGAGGAACACAGTGTTGCATTAGGGCAGATATGATCGACCCTAAAGTTGTATCTTGCAAATCTTGCAGCAAATATATATAAGAAGATGGGTTTGGATCTGGTTCTGGTTCACCGTCGCATTGTTCGACGGCGGCCATTGTCGAATGGTATTCCGACACGGCCAATGGACCATTTTGGTCGAAACAAGCTTCTTCTTTCCACCATTTTCGTAAGCTTTCTGAGGAACCAGTAATTGGCTTTCCTTTCTCGGGAATAATACCGTATACGAAACCTTGAGCTTTGCAAACTTCCATGATCTTCAAAACGTACTTGAGGATGGCGTCATGAGCCCTGGACATTTTCCTCCGCCGCGACTGTTGTTCCCGTGAACCATCCGCCACCACTTTCTCCGCCGGTTTCATCCTCTTTAAATGCATTCCGGTCATGCCATAAACGCCGGTTGAACTCGTCGGAGCTAGTTTCTTCGACGACCCTGATCGCTTTTTGCAACCATCATTCATAAATCTCCTCGACGTTGCAAGTTTTGATGAATCTTGAGTACCATTTGGAGGAAGATGAGTGAATTATATACGTGATGTGAAGATGGAGACTGTGAGCGGAGGAAGGTGGTGGTTTTGGTTGAGATTGAGAGATTCATTGCATTTGCATCGCAAGAAGCAGATGCAATGAAGGTGGGTGGTGATGGAACTTGTGCATTCATGTCTCACATGAACAAACGACGTCAATGGCTATCGTTTTCTTGATTATAGAATGTATATAATTCATATGCAAAACACCTGGTTTTCTGGTTCAAAGTTTGACTATATCAACTCCAAAAATCCTTTGAAGCTATAAATCTCTATGGAGGACACGTGTCTTTTAGAAGCTCATAGGTTAATGTTTGTTGAAAAGGGTTATAACCACATTGTCCGTAAACGACACGACACAATTACTTTGACCGGCCGTCAATCGAATCCTCAAATTCGATTTAGGGTCGTTTATTAAACGCATATTCGGTTAAGCACACTTTACTTTACCGAATGAATATGACAAAGACTAAAAATCTTACCTTATAAGAACGAAAATAAGAATCGAGAGTGAATAGAATCTTAACGGTAAATGAGGACTCTTATCATGGTTAGCGTTTATTGAGATAAATTGTTGCATACGATGTGTCAATTTCGTTCTTTGAATTGTGGTAAGAAATTCGAATTCCATATATAATGATATGTAATTTTTTTAGTTCTAATAAGGAATTCCAATTACTTCGTTTCATCTTTTTAGAAAAAACTATTATGCTCTTATATTCACTTCGTTCTATTTTATCATACCATGATGGTTGTTATCATCATCACCTTCTCCACCACCATTGTCACCGCCACCACTACCATTATCATTGTTGCCTGGACCACACCACCACTGTCACTGCCACCACTACTACCATTGACACCACCACCACCAATATTATAATCAACGAACTAAATTACTAAACAGACATGTTAAAATTCTTTAACATATTATAATCTAATTTATGTCAACCAAATGAATGACCAAATCAGATTAAAATTTCATTCCAATTCATCTGACTCTATTGACACCTTAGCTTTATCATTTTTACCTTATTTAAAAAAGGGTTTAAAGATAAATGTATTTCTCTTCATGTTAAATGCATTTATACTCGGGGGTGGATGGCCATAGGGGCCTTGGCCTCTCAGCTTTTTCTGTAGATAGAGTGAAACATCTCCAATCCATTAAGATTTTAAGTATAAAATTCTTTTGGGTTCATCTACTATTATTGATCCAGTCTATTTATGTTCTGTCTCTGATTATATTGTATTAATAACGTTTTTATACCTATCAACATCTAACCATTTTCTTTTACATTTCTGTATATGATTTAACTTAAAATTCCCCAAAATTTTAGTAGCTCCACTCGCAAAACTCATCAATTTGAATGTTTTCACTTTAAATTCATTTTACAGAGAAATTTACGTTTTATCTCTTTTTTAAATTCTTAATTTTTTATTGTTTTATATTTTAACTACTTTATATAATTTATTAAATGCTAATAATAAAAACTGTAGAGCTTCAAAATAATATCGCAACCTTTTTTAAAGCAGAAAATATTTAGGTTGCTTTATTTCAGAATTTTTCTCAGAAAAAAACTTAAATTGTATCCAATGACATTTAAAACGAATTTTAAAACAAATTATATGGTGTTTTGTTAAATGGGTTATCTTTTAAACCTGGTGTTGGTTCTCATGGAGCACTTAGTAATCATCGTAGATTTTCTCTATGTAGATCAACACACGAACACGATTTTGATCTGTACCGAGTGCTAGTCCAAAACCCTAATCTACTACGTGTTTTTATAGAAAAGAAATAAACTGTTTTATTTTCTATTTTCTAGTGAATTGTAAATCTAAAAGATTAAATCATCATCATTTTAGGCTTAGGTGATGTTTGACAGTTGCTGAGTGGTTTGATACATAATGATTAAGTGGTCAGAATGATTAAGAGGCTCTCATGATATAATGCAAAATGAAATATAATTGTTTGGTAATTGTGTACAATGAAATTAGGGCTCTTAATGGTTAAGGGAGATCCAGGATACAAAATTATTCAGAGGGTTTTAGAACCATTAAGAGGCATAATTTTTTTTTTTTGACAAACAAGATTCAACTCTTAACGATTCAGATGTTGCCTCTTAATGGAACTATTAAGAGGTAAACAAACAACCCCTCAGGCCTCTTAGAATTATAGGCAAACTTTATTTTCTAAATATAAAGCGGGTTTGTGATTATTCTTAAGCCTATTATCTATAAGCCCTAACAATTTTATTATTTATAATAGAATTAATATATTAGAAATAAAATCATGTAATTATTATAACGAACTTTTTAACATGTAACTTAATTATTATACAAGAATAACTATTTAACAATCAATATGACATTATTTGGTTGTCCAATAACCATATGAAAGCATACATATTATTTGTGTGTGTGACCTTATAAGTTTACATACTCCTTGACAGTGTCCCCGACACGTGTTGTTAGCATATATAACCTTAAAAAAACAATATTTTTTTCATAAAATAAATCATTAAAAATCTTTTATCAAGACAATTAAAATAAATTTAATAAATAATTTAGGGGAGTGCTAATGGCACCCCTAATAGGGGGTGTTGAATGCCTCGGAAAATGTAATTGATGTAAGTCTATCATATGTCAATGTCAAATAATAATATATTATGTTTTATTATTATTGTATTATTATATATATACATACATATACACACACACACACACATATATATATATATATATATATATTTATTCAATTATTATTTTAAGTTATATTANGTTTACAATAACCTGATATTTAAGATTTTCCTCAACAGAGGTCAGTTCTTTGATCTTAGAATGGCAAATCTTCAATTGTTCATGAAGATCAACATTAAGCATTTCAGCTTTTGATTTGCCATTGAGGGCATTCTAAAGGTCAACCGTCAGAGTATCCAGTGCAGAAAGACTAGAAGAAGAAGAGGGTTCATTCARGAAGCATACCTGAGTAGAAGAAGATGGCTCTGAGGAGGTGGATGCTTCAGAAGATCCTTCATCAGCATTAAAGGCCATCATGCAGACGTAGGCTTTATCTTCTTCATCATAAGATGATTCATCAGATGATTCAGCCCACTCATGCTCTTCAGCAACAAGACCTTTAGACTTTTGCTGGTTTTTCTTCATCTTCTTGTACTTCTCCTTCATTTAGAGTACTTCTCATCTACGGTCCTGAAGGAGGAAGGAGCATTAGAGGATGGCGTCATAATCTTCTTCGATCTGCATTCACCTGCAAAGTGTCCAGGTCGGTGACAATTATAGCAGACAGCTGAAGCCTTGTCTATTCTTTCAGACTGTAGCTTCTCCCTAAGGGATAGCTGAGGAGATCTGTGGAATTTACTCTTATTGGCGAACCTCCTAAATGACTTAGTTAGGACTGCCAAGGACTCATCAAAATCTGTTAAAACAGATTCTGGACTCAGAAGAGTCCATCTTCGTGATGACCACGGGAGGTAGAGAATAAACAAAAGGAGTAGAAGTATCAACTGAAGAAGATTTAGAGATCAAAGCTAAAGGAGAGCTTCTCATTTCCCTGGTTTCTTTTACAGGATTTCTTTTCAGTTGACGAGATTGCTCATGGTTAAGCAGAATCCCGTATAAAGACAAAAGAGAAAGAGTGGACATGTCATTTGATATCTTAAGACACATGGAAAAGGTGTCCCAAGACTCAGGAAGACATTCTAGARACTTAGTCAAAGTTTCAGAATTAGAATATTCCCTGTCGACAGCCCTAAGATCAATAAGAAGGHAATTAAAACGTTGATGTACTTCAGACAGTGTCTCGGACTTTCTACAGAGAAAGCTTTCATACTGTCTTACTAGATTGATCTTTCTAGTCTCCTGAACCTGAGTGGTTCCTTCATATTGGACACATAGAGTATCCCATACGCACTTAGAAGATTTGATTTTCATCACAGAGTGATAAATCTCATCAGGAAGAGACATAGCTATTATAGACCGAGCACGCGTGTCTATAGCTATTTTCTTCTTGTCCTCATCACTCCACTGATGTGGAAGCTTTGGAATATGCCGTTCAGGAATCGCAGCAGTCGTAGCTGTTGCTGAAACAGCCAGAACAATAGCAAATGGAATATATGGTCCATTTTCTATATAGTGTGGAATTTCAGGATCCACACCTTCTAGAAAGAGGGACATCCGGTTCTTCCAGAGAAAAAAGTTGTCATGGACAAACCGGGGAGGTTTGGCAAGAGAGTCATTGTCTTGTGTGTGTGTGTGTTTGAAATTTGTAAAGCCATTTGAAAGTAGTAAGTTATCTAAGAAGAGATAAATTAATACAACAAAATAACAAAACACAAGTAAAGAGAGAAAAACACTGTTTTGATACCACTTGTTGGTCCCGAAAGGGTCTACAAGATAAGACACTGTTTGTAAAAGGTGGGGGATGAATACAAACACAGAGTTTTCAAATTTAAAATATATATTGATAGAGAAGATTAATACAGATTTTACAAGATTGTTTGCGAAAAGATAAGGTAAAGAAAACCTATCTAAACAACCTTTGATTACACACAGATCTTTAGCAAATACAAGAAAAGATAATTCTAGAAAATAAAGATTTTTTACTTAAGCAAGAAGAGGCTTGAAGTAAGAATAGGTTAGTAGAGAGATGCGCGCGTACATTCTCTTTTGCATGGAGAAGAAAACACTTCTATTTATACCCATTGCAGTAAATGAACATTTAATGCAATAAGGTAGGGTATACAGTGCGTGTCAAGCCTTAAGAGGAAGGCTTGTCCTTTGCTACAGTGAATAGTACAAAAGCACTATTCTTGAGCAAACATCCTGGCCTAAAGTTGGTGGACAAAGAGTCGACTAATCGGCTCCGTACCGTACTAACTTTAGTAAGGGTATGGGTTTGTCCTTTGTGTGCAAAAGGACAAGACAACAACAATCGTGCTAAGCAAGCTTCCTTTGATCGCTGAATGCTGGAATGACCTGAAGGTCTCATCATCATTCGTTGAAGCTAAAGCAGTCTTCACACATATGTAGAAAGGTTTGTAATCACTAAATACCGCTTCAGATCACGTACTCGCCAGTCTCTAATCTTCAGTTTCAGTCTTCGACATTCGCTGAAGGT